GGTTCGCAGCCCGATTCGTAACCACTACGCTACCAGACTCAATAGATAGAGGTCAAGAAACACATGTAAAGGTTAACTTGCTTCTCAGAGAAAAGAATAGATTTATGTAGGAACAAATGTTTAACTAAAAGGTTTCAAGGCGCCAGGATGTCTCGTATGCGTTGATGTAATGTTTCTTTGCTATAACTTCTTGTCCCTGTTGTAAATCAAAGGGTCGTAAACCATGAAGAATGTGCCTCAGAATAGATTGTATTTTGAAGACATTGATTACTGTGAAAGCAATGTTTTTTGTAACGATATATAAGGGGGTTATAAGATACAATAAGGAGGGTAATGGGAAGTAGAAGGAAAAAGAGAAGTAGAAGGAATGTAGAGAATAAAGAATGTAGTGGGAGAAGGAAAAAGAATAAGGAGTAATGTAGAGAAGCAGTGTAGGGAGTAGTGGAGAAAGAAAAAGAATGGCAGGAGAATAAAGCAGGAGGGGAGAAGGAGAATAGAGAAAGAGAATGAAGGAGAAGAAGAAGGAATAAGAGGAAGGAGAAAAAAGCATGTAAGAAGAAGAATAGAGAGAGAAAGCAGGAGAGGGAGGAATAAACAAATGGAAGGGGATTAAAAAAGCAGGAGGGGAATGAAATCAGGAGCAGGGGAAGGGAGAAAAGAAGCAGAAGACATGAGCAGGAGAGCAGGGGAGTAAAGAATGAGCAGGACAGTAAAGAATGAGAGAAGAATAAAGCATGTAATAAGAAGATTTTGAATTCATCACGACTTATTGACTCCGTGTAATTCTCATCGCCGACACCGCACCCGCCTTTTGGAAAAATCCTTGAAATAAATTTGCCGGGGCTGGCTCCCAGCAACCATGAGTGGGAGTTCGTATGGGATCTGTAACATACGATTTATTCTGAGTGCTCTGAATGGTCACCTTTCCTTTCAGACATCTGCTCAGTAACAACCCTCTGAGTAAGCTCCTGTCCATCCTGGCTACTGTGGTAGTAGTCCTCCAGATAGAAGGATTGGCTAAACACTCATCTAAAGTGACTCTTGACCAAAATCAACTGAAATGACCAAATAGAAAGTCCACAGACTTCTATTGGGTGGGTAGTGACAGGGATCTTAGCTTGTCAGTGGCTATCTATAAGAAACGGATACTGGTCTCTCCCTGTCTGGAGGAATGAAGAGTGAGGAAAACTGAAGACACTTGGAAACAGCCCAGTGGACCAATGGACCAAGTGGACATCAGTCTCCATGACCCTGAGACCAGAAGAACTAGATGGTGTCCAACTACCAGTACTAAGTGCTCTGAAAGGGATCCCATTAGAAGGTTCTAGAAAGAGTGGGAGAAAAATGTGGAACAAAACTCAGAATCATAAAGACCAGGCTTGCTAGTCAGAAAGAGATTGGTAGAACCCTGGGACTATGGCCTGTGGTCACCCTTGAGATGAGGAAATGAACTCACCAACTTGGTTCAATTTTCAGACAGGTCTATGAAGGGAACAATCATGAACAACAACAGAATACTGTCAGATAGACTGTCAGAAGATGAGCCCTTCAACTTGGAAGGTACTCCAAATACCACTGGGGAAGAGCTGCCTCCTCAAATAAAGTGTGCCATGATAAAGCCAATGGAGTGAAGCTTTGGGGAAATTAATTTCCTGATGGGACCAACTCAAAATGAGGAGAATCAGCTGCAAATAGCCATTAATAATTGGATCATGGAATGGATAAAGTATGAATGCAGGAAAATTGGAAGTTGTCCAAGAAAAAAATGGAACACATACAGATCAGTATCTGAGGCATCAGTGAGCTTAAATGCACTGGTATGTTCATTCTAAATCTGACAATCATATGGCTTACTATGCCAGAAACGACAAATTCAAGAGGAATGGCCTTCCATTCATCATCAAAAGGAAACATTTCAAGATCTGTCTCGAAGTACAATACTGTCTGTGATAGGATAATACCCATACGCCTACAAG